CTCAAGGCCAGGTTGGATGGAGCTCTGAGCACCCTGGTCTGGTGGAAGATGTCCCTGCTGATGGCAGGGGGGTTGGGACCAGATGATCTTTAAGGTCCCTTCCAACCCAAACCATTCCATGATTCTATGATTCTATGATTCCACAGTCACTGAAATGTCACTGTTTATAAGGCTGGCAGGCTTAGAGAGCTGGGCAAGTTACTTCAGAATTTAAGTACTTGCAGAATAAATGCTACAGAATACTTTTTAAACACCCCATGATTTTATAACAATAGCTATATAACTATATATAACAATGTGTATATAAAATACAGTATTGGACTCAATGATCTTCCAATCAATTGATCTTCAATGATCTAAACGATTCTACGATTCCATATATTTACAATAGTCAGGGGAACAGAAAGGGGGTTTTCTCGGGCAGTAGCTGTTGCAATGGTGTTTAGGAACACCCCATGCCCAGCGTGCTGCAGGGACAGCAGATGGGCCACCATCACCCCTTGCCAGCAGAGGGTCCCAGAAACAAAGCTGAGCTGGAGACAGTCATCGCGATCGTTTCTACGCCTCTGAAAGCAACCACACCCTGTAACTCCACATTTCCTCCAGTTCAAACTTGAAGCATGTCTGTGATTTTTTTGAATACCTGCCCACATCCTCTTTCAGATTATTTCAGTTCTGGAGGAAGTAAGCAAACTTCCCCAGTGCGCGTGTCCCGAAGCTGCAGCAGAGAGGACCTATTCCGCGCTGCCTCGTTAGTGATAGCAGTAATAGCCATCATGGTCTGAGTCCTAGGTATCATTATGAACAGATGAAAGTCTTCCATAAGTAAAACCAGAGTTTCTCTGTGATCTACTGCATTTATGGAATCTCTGGGAAGCCCTGCACGTGAAGATTACGTAGCATTTCTTAGGAAAGGCGTTGCTGGTAAAGGAAAGGATACTGATAAGGTGGAATATTTTGATAGGGCAGAATATTTTGATAAGGCAGAATAAATTTGTCATCACTGTGACATGGGACACCAAAAGAAATGTCACGCGAGCATTTACATGGTGCTAATGTGGCCAACAGCCACCTCTGCAGGACAGCTGGGAAGTCTGCCAGCTGGCTTTGAGAACATTTTGGATAACTGAAAAATTATGAAAATGCCTAACGTGAGTCCTGCATTGACCACAGGCTCTCCATTGTTCCCCTCAGTGCTCTGTTACTCTTCTAGGATATTGAGTTGCTGGAGTGTGTCCAGAGAAGGGCAACGAGGCTGGTGAAGGGTCTGGAAAACAAGTCTCATGAGAAGCAGCTGAGGGAGCTGGGGCTGTTCAGTCTGGAGAAGAGGAGGCTGAGGGGAGACCTTCTTGCTCTCTACAGCTCCCTGACAGGAGGGTGTAGTGAGGCGGGGTTGGTCTCTTCTCCCAAGGAACCAGCGATGGGACGAGAGGCAACGGCCTCAAGCTGTGTCAGGGGAGGTTCAGACTGGATATTGGGAAAAATGTCTTTCCTGAAAGAGTGGTCAGGCCTTGGCCCAGGCTGCCCAGGGCAGGGGTGGAGTCCCCATCCCTGGAGGGGTTCAAAAGCCATGTGGATGTGGCCCTTGAGGACATGGTTGAGCAGGCATGGTGGGGTTGGGTTGGCAGTTGGACTTGGTGATCTCAGAGGTCTTTTCCAGCCTTAATGATTCTATGATTCTACAGTTCTGTGATTTTATACAACACTCGCTGAATATAAAGATGGTCTGAAAAACTGGGATTCCCCTGGGTTAGAAATGGTTCTGCCTTGCTGGAATCCAGACCTGTGAGCAGTCTCTGGCATCGAACAGGAATTGGTGTTGTTAATAACGGTGACAATGCTGGTTTCAAGGTAAATGTAAGATATTTTGACCTGTGTCACACAGCAAGTTAGAATTAAAGAAAAAAAACATGGATTTGGGAAAGGTTTGAGGCTTTTAATCCAATTTTCTGTTCCATACCATTCTGTATAAATGACCATGATCTACTCTGATCATTGATAGATCTCTTGATCCATTCATTCAGCCACTTCATTCTCACACTGATTATTCTGGTCCAAAACAGGACCAGAACCAAAAGAACAGGTGAAAAAAAAAAATTGCCCATAAAACATGGCAGGCCAAATTCAACCTGTGCTTGACTTGAGCTTCATTACACAAAAAAACACCAAAATAACCCAGAGGGATTATGGGGGGTGCAGATGGTCCCTGCCTCTCCGTGAACGCCTCCCTTTGCTCCCTCGCTCTGCAGCCGCCCACCGAGCCCCGCTGAGCTGCTTCAGGGAGGTGAATGTTCGAGGTGACCGGTGTGGGAACTGCGGATGGAACGGGATGTGCTACACTAAATGCCTGGAAGAGTAAGTGATGGTGACTGGTGGTTACTGGTGTCCCAGTCCTGCCAGTGGCCAGGCGGGATTGGGACACCACTCTTGTGCATTGCTGAATAAGGCATGCACGTAGAACACTGTTTCTAAGAGATTTTCAACTTGAATTTGACGTGGACCTGTCAGAGCGGGGCCAGAGGAGGCCCCAGCAATGACACGAGGGCTGGAACCCCTCTGCTGGGAGGAAAGGCTGGGAGAGCTGGGGCTGCTCAGCCTGGAGAAGAGAAGGCTGTGGGGAGACCTTAGAGCAGCTGCCAGTGCCTGGAGGGGCTGGGAGAGAGCTGGGGCGGGGTCTTCTTAGCAAGGCCTGTTGTGGTAGGACAAGGAGTAATGGCTTCAAACTAAGGGAGGGGAGATTTAGACTGGATTTAAGGAAGAAAGACAAGACATGGGGTGATGGCTTCAAGCTGAAAGAGAGGAGAATTAGACTGGATCTAAGGAAGAAGTTCTTTACTCTGAGGGTGGTGAGGGCCTGGCCCAGGTTTCCTAGAGAAGCTGTGGCTGCCCCCTCCCTGGCAGTGCTCAAGGCCAGGTTGGATGGAGCTCTGAGCAACCTGGTCTGGTGGAAGATGTCCTTGCCCATGGCAGGGGGCTGGAACCAGATGAGCTTTAAGGTCCCTTCCAGCCCAAACCATTCTATGATTCTATGAATTTTTTTTTCTGTTGGGATTAAGTACAATAAGAGAGGCAAAAGCAAAAATGGTATTGGGAAAAGAACTGCAGCTTTTTTGTAAGACTTGAAAGCTCTGCTAGGCTTTTCTAGTTGGTTTTCACAGATGAAGGAGTGACGGACAAGTATTGCTGAGAGTCTACCTGTAAAACAGTCAAAGTAGGGGAAAAAAGCACTTGGCAATAGGAGGCATTTGAGCCAACGTTTCTTCAGGCTGGGTTCTTCTTGCACTTTACTTTCAACCCAGAAAGTTAAGAGCAGACAGTCTTCTTTTTACAGGAATTTACAGATTTTTCTTCTTTGCTTGTCCAGAACAGCCTTAAATCTTATCTCCCAGCATTAATGGAAGTTCAGCGCACGACACTCCCCAGGTTTCCCGCAGTCGGGGTCATCCCATCACCAGGCGAGGGCTTTGATAATGGGTTCAGTCTGATAATGGGTTCTCGAACTCTTTCTCCTTCCACATTAGTTCTTCTCACGTTGCAGACAGGCGCAGCAGACATCAGTCAGTATATCTTGAAAGACATCTCTGAATTGTTGTAGAGTGCAGTCCCTCAACCTTAGAACTCATCACTCTCCAAGCCCTCCTCTGTGGTTCTGTCCTGAGAGTAGGACCTGCTGAGAATAACCCACATTTGAGTGGGGATGTGGACAATCATTCAAAAGGAAGGAGGCTGTTTACCAGGACCTTGGAGATTTGCTGTCCATACGCACACTGACATTCACTCAAAAACATGTAGTTGCTAGTACCTAACCTTTCCTCACACTTGCACTTCAGCAGCACCAAGGAGGGGGACATTGCTGTCATCAGAGGTGACACCAGGAGGCAAATTCAGAATTTGGGCTCACTTCCTATTTCCATACTGAGCACTACAGAGGCAGCCCCTGAGCTTCACTGTTGCCACCTCTGGGACAGAGATGAGTTTCTGGATAACTACACCCAATTCTTCCCGGCAGAAACAGCAGTATTTCTCATACAGTATATAAAATAGAAAAAATTTTAAAAGTACTGGAGAGAGTCCAGCACAGGGCTACGAGGATGATGAGGGGACTGGAGCATCTCTCCTACGAGGAGAGGCTGAGGGAGCTGGGCTTGTTCAGCCTGGAGAAGAGAAGGCTGAGAGGGGACCTTCGAAATGCCTCTAAATATCGAGGTAAAAGCACCTTAGCAGCAACATCTAGAAAATCTAATAAATAAAAAATAAGGATTCCAACTGAGACAAACATTTGAATACTATGTAATTAGCTTTGAATGCTCTACTTGTTCTTTTTTGCTGGAAATGTCATAATTTTGACAAACGATTGTGCTCAGGTAGAATGAAAACGTCACTACAAAGAAATGGGAAGGGCCCGCGAAACTCTGTTAAAATGCCACCCTGAACACAAGAGGAGGATGTGCTTAAACATCGTCATGACTCGTGTTTTCTAAACGAAACCTCACAACTGACATGCCTCTCAAAATCAAGTTTTTTTTCAGTGAAAGAAGCATTTCGTTAGGAAGAAAAACAACCCACACCAAACCCAAGAAGAGTTTGACAGATTTCCTGCCATCCGTTTTTACCTCTGACTGTGTCAAGAAGTATTCCAAAATATTTTGTTAGGTAAGATGAGCAAAGACGTAGCAATTTGCCTGTGATCTGGGCAGCTGCTCCGGACTCATCCCTCGTCCACGCTGAAGTACATGGGAGCTGCGGTTATCATTATTTTGGCTGTGAAGCACAAGCTTCTGGTGCACCGACAGCCAGACGTGTGGTGGTGGGCTTTCTGTGAAGGAGTACACCAAGAATAGTTCCCTTCACTGCAGCTTGTGTTTCCCAGGGAGGCTGTGGAGTCTCCTTCTCTGGAGATATTCCAGCCCCGCCTGTCCACGGTGCTGTGCAGCCTGCTCTGGGTGACCCTGCTTAGGCAGGGGGTTGGGCTGGGGGATCCCCAGGGGTCCCTTCCAACCCCGACCATTCTGTAATTCTGTGAAAATGGGGAAAACACACAAAAAGTGAGGGTCAAATAGTCAAATAGAAGTGTTTCTGCCACCCTGCTCTGGGTGACCCTGCTTCGTCAGCGGGGTTGGACTGGGTGACCCACAGAGGTGCCTTCCAACCCTGACCATTCTGTAATTCTGTGAAAATGGGGAAAACACACAAAAAGTGAGGGTCAAATAGTCAAATAGAAGTGTTTCTGCCACCCTGCTCTGGGTGACCCTGCTTCGTCAGCGGGGTTGGACTGGGTGACCCACAGAGGTGCCTTCCAACCCCGACCATTCTGTAATTCTGTGAAAATGGGGAAAACACACAAAAAGTGAGGGTCAAATAGTCAAATAGAAGTGTTTCTGCCACTTCTGGGGAGATACACCAAAGGGCTGTGCCCATGTGCTCGAGGCACTGACACCAACTGACATAGAAGAGTCTGTGTCAATACTAATGAAATGTCTTTAGCTCAGAGAAGAGGTGGTTGGATGCAAACTGCCTGAAAGGATTGATCCTGGACAGCTGGAACCTCTGACCATGCCCAGAATTGCTCCAAGCGCGTGAGCTGGAACAGGCCAAATTTGTACCAGGGTGCTCATACAGCTGATGGCATAGTTGTGTACCAGCACCGCGGATCACCACATCTTCAGATGTCTCTATGGACCTTGCAGCAGTCCATTTGTCTATCCCAGGAACGTCCTGTGCGGAAGAGTGCAGTGTACTATCATTAACTTTTTTGAACTGGGGCTCCCCAGTTCAAGAAAGATGAAGAGCTACTGGAGAGAGTCCAGCGGAGGGCTACAAGGATGGTGAGGGGACTGGAACATCTGCCCTACGAGGAGAGGCTGAGGGAGCTGGGCTTGTTCAGGCTGAAGAAGAGAAGGCTGCGAGGGGACCTAATAAATGCTTATAAATATCTGAAGGGTGGGTGTCAGGAGGATGGGGCCAAGCTCTTTTCAGTGGTGCCCAGTGACAGGACAAGGGGCAATGGGCACAAACTGAGGCACAGGAAGTTCCGTCTGAACATGAGGAAGAACTTCTTCCCTCTGAGGGTGACGGAGCCCTGAAACAGGCTGCCCAGGGAGGTTGTGGAGTCTCCTTCTCTGGAGATATTCCAGCCCCGCCTGGACAAGGTCCTGTGCAGCTTGCTGTAGGTGACCCTGCTTCAGCAAGAGGGTTGGACTAGATGACCCACAGAGGTCCCTTCCAACCCCTACCATTCTGTGATTCTGCGATTCTGTGATTCTGTGATTAAAAGAGTACCAGTCAGGCAAGACGGCGAGACTGTGGTTCAGACCACCGTGAACAATCAGCTCTGCTGGGGACTCGAGTTCCACCTGGCTGCAGACACTCCTGACCAGGGATCGGTGAAAGACGGCACTTCGTGCGGTAGAACCAAGGTACCCTTAGAAAGCGAGGAGGATATACGAATAGTACAGGACAGAGATTAAGCGGAAGGGTTTTGCTCCTGAAGGAGTTCTTGATCTCTGACAGAAACCCAACAGTGCCTTCTGTTAAAGTCTCCTTTAGTGGCTGAAAAATAGCAACATCTTGTATTGGTTTTGTGGGTTTCCTTCCCCTGAGACTGAGTGGCTAACACAATAGCTGCTATTTTTCCATTAGAAGCAAAAAGCAATAGATTGTACCCTTCTTCTGAAGCTACTAACCAAAGTCAAAGTTTATTTGTTGCACATACAAAAGAATTCAAAGTGTTGTTCCAAGAACAGGACTCACTTCTTCCCTTTGAGCCAGAAGAGCAAACCCCTGTCACGCTGCTGACATACTAAAGGATGAGTTTCCTGGTATTACATGGCCAGGAAAATATCTCCAAGAGACACAGTGGTGCTGAGTTCCACCAAAAGGGAAGGAGCTGCTCAGTGTTGGCTTCAGTAGAGTTCTCCTTTCAGGACACATGGGTTTCACACCACCAAATGCAAACATTAATTCCAAAAATAACTAATTTGCAAGGCAAAAAGTTGAAGATACATCTCCTCCATTCTCCTTCTGCACAGAGGAGACAAGCTTGTGTCTCCCAGAGCTAGGAAGATGCTCCACTTCATTCACTGAGCAAATAAAACATCTTCTGTGGTTCCAAGGTCTTGTTCTCATCACATGGACTAGACAGGAACAAGACAGGAGATCTTGAGCCACAGACTGCTGGGAGCTGGAGACCATGCTGAGGAAATAGTGTTGTGTGTATGTCCACACATCAACATGGTTGTGCAGGGTCAGCTCAAGAGTCCATCAAGCCCAGAATCTTCCACCAGTCTCAGGCAGATACCTAGGGAAGGGTATGAACACAGCACGCACATCTGATCCTTCCTACTATTGCTGGTACAACCTTCAATTATTTTTCAGTTCTTAATTACTCAGTCCCTGAGGTAGAAGTGGTTTCTGTGTGTTTTGTAACCCTCAAGGGGTTTGTTCAGTCTCCCCGTTGGTTTGTCTTGAACCTGGAACTCGAGATCTTCATTTCATGCTCCCCTGGTGCTTGTTTGGAGAAAGAAAAGTTGAATGAAATGAAATGCAATGCAATGAAATGAAATGAAAAGAAATGAAATGAAATGAAATGAAATGAAATGAAATGAAATGAAATAATGAAATGCAATGAAATGAAATCATGAAATGCAATGAAATGAAATGAATGACTGAAAAGACGTGGCCCACTGTTTCTCACTGCTCTTCTCCCTGTTCAGCAGTCAGTTCCCTTTCCTCGTGTCTGTCATTTTGTCATTTCACTACCATAAATCTGCCTCTTTCTGCAGATCTGTATGAACAGGATGTGTGTCAGAGCAGCTTTTCTCAGCAAGGATTGTAGGGAGAAACAATGCAATGGCAGAGGGGTAAGTAGAAAACATCCAAGTATCCTCTGAGTAGTGGAGTATACAAAGCATATATCTGTCTCTCCAAAGCAGTACCAGAAGTCCAGAATCATTCCTGGTTCGGCAGCACAGAGATTATTTTAGTTTTCACCCAAGATTCTCCTCCCAGATTCTGCTCTGGCCGTCTTCGTAGCAGTGTTTGTTGGTTACTTTTACTATTTTTCTTCTTTTTTCCTTCAAGTATTGTGAAAACCGACTTCCACATCGTCACGCTTCATCCTTCATTGCATCTGTCAGCGCTACTGAGTTTAAATTAGCGGGAGTTGGAGAGACCTAAAAAACGCACGCTCAGTTCTAGAATGTTGCTTTCCTTACGATTACCACTGAAAAGGCCCATTTTGTACAACATCAGCTGCACTTAGCCTTATGTAAAAACTACATTTCAGACATTAATACTGGCAGAATTATTTCACATGTGGATTTTTTTATGAGATCACTGCCAAGGTACTTGCCCCTTTCCAGGCAGGTATTATCGCAGATGAGCAGCAGATCTGTCTGGATGTTAGCGCCGACGCTAAGAGAGCATACTGGTAAGATTTGCTACCATCTGCCTTTTATCTGAAATATTGCTGAGGACCAGTAAGAAAAGTTATTGGCAGATTGTCAACCTCTGACTGGAAGGGTCTGAGGTCTGCTCTTCTTCTGCTCTGCCACCAGCTGTGGGTGCCCGAGTCCATCAGGAGTTATGTTCTTGGCAACAGTGTTCTCAAAGTAGCTGGAATAAGCACATCTTTTTGCTGTCTCCAGAGAGAAAGGTTATAACGCAAAAAACCCACACTTTTTTCTTGGGAAGCAGTCCCTCAAACCAAAAACCCACCCTTGAAAAATAATAATTATTGCTCTACATGGTTTGGGCTGCAGAAATCAGTAAAGCCAGCCTCAACTCTGTCTCCCCAGAAGAGGAGAGAAAAATGTTACTCAAAGCAGAGCCACTATGTTTGGGTGGGAAACTGTCACGACCTACACCGGCCTGCAAATCTGAGACGTGGGGGAGCAGAGCTATGGGTCCACATTACCAAACAGTAACACAAACCTGGACTAATAACACATAATAGGAAATCCACCAGCGAGCATCAAAACAGGGTTAGAGGCTCACTTCCACATCACCTCAGCACGTGCAATGGACATGGGCTGACCACAGACCCACGCTGCTGCACGACCCAAAATCAGGGAGCTCTTCCCTCTGCTCCTGGTCTGCAGTGAGGACAGTCAGGCTGTTGAGCAGCCCTCGCTGCACCCCGCTGGGCATTCAGGTGTTACGGACTGTGAGTGAGAGCCGAGGAACGCAGGAGCTGAGTAATCCGGCCTGGACAGCACAAATAAATGTGCAACTAAAGGAGTCAGCATGGGGTGCATGAGGAGGAGCGTGGCCAGCAGGGCGAGGGAGGTTCTCCTCCCCTTCTCCTCTGCCCTGGTGAGGCCCCATCTGCAATGCTGTGTCCAGTGCTGGGCTCCCCAGTTCAAGAAAGATGAGGAGCTACTGGAGAGAGTCCAGCGGAGGGCGCGC